CAGGGATGGCTTGGGGCCAAGCTTTGTGCAGGGGGTGGGGAGGAGCCCCATCCCCCAAGCCCACCTCAGTCGTTCCGGAGGGCTCCGCAGTGGGTCCCCTAGCTAGAGTTTGCAGGGCCGAAGCCCGGGGACCTTCTGAGTTGCAGGAACGACATGCAACGCCCTCCACTCTTACCCTTCCTGTTTCTTCTGAGCTTGGCTGCCCCCTTCACAAGAGCGGAGACATAAATAAATATTCTTAGGAACCACATACTATGGCAGACTCTCTCTTCTGTCGTGGGAAGTATTGGAGTGTGGCTTGTGAACAAATGGGAAATGGAGAGCCCTTAACTTTACAAAACACCTGCTCCTTGGTGGACCGCAGCTCCTTGCGTTTTTCGACCTTCCTTATGGGGAGATTGGTTCTAGATACTGTGGACCTAAGTGCTTCTTCCACTTGCAAAATTATAACTACATGAGTGCCTCATGGGCAGCTGGTTTTCCGGAGAAGAACGCTGGTCTAGGATGGCTCTCTTTGGGTCCTGCCTCTAACACAGCTCTCTTTCTGCTTGGGACTGTAAATTGTGCAAATTCACCCAAAGTCATACTGGTTTTCCGGAGAAGAACGCTGGTCTAGATGGCTCTCTTTGGGTCCTGCCTAACACAGCTCTCTCTCTGCTTGGGACTGTGAATTCTGCAAATTCGCCCAAAGTCATAGGTTCCCTTGTCGTACTGCTCTAACAGTTAGGAAGTTTTTCCTGATATCCAGCCTAAATCCGGCTTCCTGTAAGACGATGGTGCTGCCTTTTCAGACCGTGCCCGAGACACCCAGACCGACGAGATTGTGGCCCTCAAGAAGGTGCGGATGGATAAAGAGAAGGATGGTGAGCCGAAGGGGAGACCTCTGGGGCTGGGGAGGGGGGGCTGTCACTTTATTAAGCCTTGGCATTTAATTCTGCCCCACTGTTGTTGGGGCTGGACCCTGACCTGTGTGACTGCTCCTTACAGGCATCCCCATCAGCAGCCTGCGAGAGATCACACTCTTGCTGAAGCTCCACCACCCCAACATCGTGGAGCTGAAGGAAGTGGTGGTGGGGAATCACCTGGAGAGGTACCCCCCCCTCCTTTTTCCTCTGGGCCTGTGAGATGACTTGCCGCCTCCATCCTCCAAATTGGCCCGTTTGTACATCGGGGATGGGCAGCTGTGATCTCCCAGATGTCTCTGAACTACACTTCCCATCATCCACACCACTGGCTGGGCTGGCAGGAGCCGATGGGACGTGCCGGTGGGGACCCTCTGGTTGGCCACCGTCACCCATTGTGGTGGGCTTGCAAGCGGGAATGTCCAAGGGTGTTATACTGAATTAGAGCCAAGCATAACATCTTCTCAGGACAAACTTCCAGTAATGCTCCTGCCATCAGGACTGTAGCATTCCCAGGCTCTTCTCCAGGATAGGTCTCATGCCTCCAAGGATCTTTTTCTTTCTTTAAGCTACTTCTGTGCACTCCGCCCTCTCCTCCGGGGCAGATGCTGCCTTTCTCTCTAGCTGCAGCAAAGACCAAAAAGCCACACAAGCCCATCTGTGCCTCTGATTCTTCCACAGCATTTTCTTGGTGATGGGTTATTGCGAACAGGATCTCGCCAGCCTCCTGGAGAACATGCAGGTGCCCTTCTCTGAAGCTCAGGTGCGTAGGGGCCAAATCATCATCATCATCCTCTGCAAATTCTCAGTCGGGAGGCCAGGAGATGTTAGCAGAGAACCAAGCTATATCCAGGGGAAAGGCTCGCTTAATAACCCCTCCTTCCTTTGCCTTGTTCACCCCTTGCAGGTAAAATGCATCATTCTTCAGGTTCTCAAAGGGCTTCAGTACCTGCACGACAGGTTCATCATTCACAGGTGAGGAAGTGCTCGGTGGCTTTGGCCCGTCCAGCCCCATAGTGTCAACTCTGACCGGCAGCAAGGGCTCTGGAGAGTCATGGGCAGGATCCTTTCTGAGCCCTGCCTGGAGGCACTGGGGGTGGAAGCTGCAACCCTCCATGTGGGGAGCAGGGGCTTGGTCGCTGGGCTGTGGCCCTTGGGAAAGGAAGGGAGCAGGTTCCAGGTCAGAGCGGCCACGGATGTCCAGGTCTTGCCACAGGTGAAGGAGGGACCCTACCTGTCCTCCTCTGAGCCTCTCTCTCCTCCCCAAAACAGGGACCTGAAGGTGTCCAATTTGCTCATGACTGACAAAGGTTGTGTGAAGACGGGTGAGTCTTGGGCTGATCCTCCCTGCCTCTGAGACCGGTGGTGGACGGCAACGACACCGACTCACCTTTTGGCCTTGTCCCTCTCTCTTTCCCCTCACTGGCAGCGGACTTCGGGCTGGCTCGTGCGTACAGGGTGCCGGCGAAACCCATGACGCCCAAAGTGGTCACACTCTGGTGAGTAGACTCTGGGCCTCTCCTGGGGGCACCAGCCCTTCTGCGCAGGCCCTCCGTTGGGCGCCGAAGGGGAAGGGAAGGGAGAGGGGGCCTGCTCCCCTCAGCATCATCACCGGGGTGAGGGGTGGGGTAGTTAGCTACGTTCCTGTCCGGCTTCCCTCTAATAAATTCAAGGGCCTGGAAAGATGCACCTGCTTAAAAAAAGGTTGAGGATCCACGAGCCAGTGTAGAATTAAGGGGGGGGGTCCTTTTCTTTGGAAAAAGAAGCGCTTTTGATTCCCTTTTGAATGCGGCGATTCGAGGAGCACCCCTTGCTTGCTTTGTTGAACAGGCAGAATCTGGGCAGCGTCACCCACCTGCCGTGGCAGGTTGCGTGGCTGTGAAGCCCAACCCCTCTCTTGCCTCTCACAGGTACCGGGCGCCTGAGCTCCTCCTGGGGACGGCCACGCAGACCACGGCCATAGATATGTGGTGAGGACATACCCCCCCCTTCCCTCCACCCAAGCCCGTCATGGCAGGGAGAGAGGCAGAGAAAGAGCGAATTCGTGGGGAGCATGACAACCCGTCGTTCCTGCTGCCACCTTCCGCAGCCTAAGCTTTCGTGTCTTTCCTCTGCAGGGCGGTGGGGTGCATCTTGGCCGAACTCCTGGCCCACAAGCCGCTGCTCCCAGGCAATTCCGAGATCCAGCAAATCGACATGATTGTCCAGCTCCTGGGCACGCCCAACGAGACCATCTGGCCCGTGAGTGCTCCCGGGCTCTCAGCCTGCCTCTCCGTCGTTGCCCCGTGCCTGGGAAATAACTCCACTTACGTTGAGCCCTAAGGACTCAGTTGGGGCTGCAGAATAGGGATTAAACTAAAGGAATATAAGCAAACCCTTCTAGAGAGAGTTCAGGGTATGTACAGAGGTGGACAGAACTACTTGCTTGCGACTAATATCGGAGAGCAAGCAGGGAAGAAAGCAGCGCCTGCTTTGTACATCATGGTGGTATCACTTTTTAGGTCATGCTAGCTTCGGGGGTTCTGAGCGTCACTTGCCCCCAGAAAGTAGCATTTCAAAGTTCTGACATTGCCCCCCGACTTGTGAGTGTGTTTTCCCCTTTTGCGGCTTCTTTCTGCAACCCTTCAGTTAGGGTGGCCGTGTTGCCAGCATCCTGAGGGTTGTCTGACTAGATCTCTTCTCCAAAGTAGTTATTGGTGAGCAGACCCTCTGTGACCCACACCGGGTCCCCCACCAGCCCGCGGAATCCAGGTTTGCTTTTCCAGTAAGAGGGGAGCAGGTGCTTTGCCAGAAGTTGCAGAAAGCTCTGGTTGGAGGCGGCTCCTGCCCGCGAGCCAGGCGGTCTGGCCGAAGGCAGAGGCTTCACGGAGGGCCTTCCCTTTGCATCTCCCGCCTCCCCCCCCTTCAGGGATTCTCCAAGCTGCCCCTGGTGAGCCAGTACACCCTCCGCAAGCAGCCCTATAACAACCTGAAGCACAAGTTCCCCTGGCTGTCTGAGGCTGGGCTGCGCCTCCTCAATTTCCTCTTCATGTACGATCCCAAGAAAAGGTAAGCGGATGCTTTTGCCAGCGCTGGAAGCCAGGGCGTGGCAGAATCGGCCGTCCGTGGCAGAGCCCCTCGAGGCCCTTTCCTGCAGGGGATCCGAAGAACCGAGCACAGCTACTGGCCCATGGTGGGAAATGGGAATCCTGAGCCGGTTTTGCGCTTTGGGCTTTGCTTCTCTCTGGGTCTCTCCTTTGAGGGGCCCTGCAGGAGAACAGCCGGCCTCCTCTGGTGCAGGAGGAGAGCCTCCCTGAGCCATCCAGGGCATAAGAGGGAGATGGAAGGGCGCCGGACTCTCACGGCAACCTGCTTCTCTTGCCTAGGGCCACGGCGGGTGAATGCCTGGAGAGTTCCTACTTCAAGGAGAAACCGCTCCGTAAGTCTCTCCTGGGCGTCCTTTCCTCCCCGAGGATCTCAGGCTTCTCCCCCCTCCTCCCTCTCCCCCCCCCCGCACACTCCCGCGGCTTGACCTCTCCCTCTTTTCCCACCAGCCTGTGAGCCCGAGCTGATGCCGACCTTCCCTCACCACCGCAACAAGCGGGCGGCCCCGAGCGCTGGCGCTGAGGGTGCAGGAAAGCGGAGCCGCCCGTGAGGAGGGCGCCGGCGGCTGCACCTGGTAAGGGATGCGCTTGCAGTCCGGGCCCTCGCTTCTGCAGGAGGGTTGCTCGCGTGACAAACCCGAACCCTGACTATGGGGCTTCTTCGCCTCCCTCTGCCCCAAATCTGCCATAGGCCTTTTTTTGAAGGGGGTGTGTGTGCAGTTCTGGAAACAGTCCAAGACAACTGCTGCCTGGCTGGGTCTGATCAAGGTAAGGAAATCAAGGCTGGATGACTTCCAGGGGCTTTTGTCAGCTGGTCCTCCTTTTACATTTGCATCTGTGGGGGGGGGAACAAAGGCCCAGAAAGTGGGCATTGCCTTTCAAAGGGGCTGTCTCACCCCTCCTGCCTGAGAGAAAAGGGCAAAAGCCAGCTGCCACTTAACAGGCTCCCTGATTCTACTTGCATTCCAAAATAAGGTCCCTTTGGAAACCTTCGCCCTGATTCATTCATTGTTGGGGGTCATTTTGAAGCAGGATGGGGCCTCCAGGCCTAATGGGTCTCTGCTGGTTTGGGTCTCTCTGCCTTTTGCATTTCCGCGAGACTCCCAAGAACATCTTCCAAACAAAATTGGGCCCTGGAGCTGAAAGAGGCTTCTCACCCTTTGCTGCGCGAGCAGAGCAAAGAGCAAACACCTCCGTAGGGTCCCAATGACAACACCAGCATTTGCTACGGAATTTTCTTTCTCTCTCTTTCGAAGGACCAAACGGAAGAGAGGCACCAGCCAAAGCTGAAACCGCTTAGACTCTCCCTCGGAGTCGCCAGGCACGATCCCCTTCCGGGCCACGTCAGGTGCCGGCGGCAGAGCCAACGATGCGCGGTTCCCCTGTGGCCCCTGGCCGCCTCACCCATCTGACCCTCCTGCGTCACGAGCGCTGTCCTCCCTGCCATCCAGAGACTGAATCTGCAGCCCTTTCCCAGAGCTGGGGAACAGCTCCTTTTATGTGTGTTTTTTGCTCATTCCAATTCCAAGTGTCTCCCCCTCCCCCCAAACCAGTGTGGTCCAGTGTTGGTGCGATTCTGGGCACTGTAATCCAAAAGACATTTGCAAAAAAAAAAAAAATGTGTGCAGAGAACTCTGGCTGGGGGGGGGGCTGTGCCTGGCCAAGAGCATTTTCCTGTTACCTGGAGGCTGTGTGGACAGGGGGGGCTTCCTTCCAGGTGGCTGGAAAGAGGACAGGGCACGGAGGCGGAAAGGCATGCAGATGTGTAACGTTTCAGAGCCATGTTAGGGGCCGAGGCACCTTCATCCATCTACCTGAGCAGCTGCCAAGGCACCTTCCTGCCCCCCCCCTTTTTTTCATCCCTGCTTCCCAGGCGTGGGAAGATGGGGGCGGGACTCTTACAAATCTATTGGTTTTCTGGACAGAATTAGAAACAGTGGATTTGAGTCATCCCTTGACTGGTTTCTGTTTGCTTGTTATTCCTGGAAAAGAACCACGGACGGTTCAACGCCCAAATGCAGAACGGATGTCCATTGCACCGTTTTAGCCGACCGATTGGTGTTTAACCACAATGGCTCCATTTTATGGAGTCCTTGCATTTGCTGTGATGGGACACCTCTGCCGCAAAGGATGACCCCCTAACCATGGAAGGTCCTTTTGGCCCAGAATTCTGGAGGGACAGGAGAAGGCTTGGTTTCCCGGGGGGGGGAGATTTAAAAAAAGAAGATAGCTTTTACTTCTCTTTATTTTAAAACTCGACTCCTGTTTAAGACACCAGAGAGGTGAAGTAAGTGCCTGCACGCCGTTCTTCCTTGCATTTCATTCAGGTTCAGACCTGCCCTGAGGGATTTAAGGTACCCCATTTTCTACCCCTTCTTCCTTGTCCACAAAAGAGAGGCACGAGGATGGCACAAGAGCAGAGGGGCAGCTGGTCAACCCCCCCACACCCCCTTGCTGCTGTAGGGCCTCTGTCCCCCACATACATGTCCCGACACCCATTTTGAAAGGCAGGTCGCAGACACGGCTGGGCGCTGGAATGTCAAGAGACGCAGGCCAGAGAGCAGGCGGCTTCCTTTCTGCCAGCACCATCACCGAGGGTTCAGGGATCTTTGGTCCCCCTGAAAAATAACTTTCCCAAACTCTGGGGGAGAGACACTGAGAAAAGGCACATCTTGCTTTCCCCTCACCATAAAAAAAGGGAGTTAGAGACTTATGATGATCAAAGGGCTGGGTCCTCGCAAACAGGTGGGTTGCTTCCCGCATGTGTTTGGGGCGACCACGTCGAAACATTTTTATCTAAAGCAGGGCCTTTCCAGGGTGGTTCGGAGAGGCGATGACAAATCTCCCTTTGCCCAGCAGATGTGGTTGGGACAGAGTATGGCCAGCCGTGGATTTTCAGCCCAACCTGTTCCCCTTGAATTCTTAATGTGTAAAAAGGTTACAGAAGTTGAATTGGGGAGTAAGGACCGGATGAGAACCCCAAGCGCTCTGTCTCTGTGTGTGCTGCCAGCACCATCACTGAGGGTTCAGGGATCTTTGGTCCCCCTGAAAAATAACTTTCCCAAACTCTGGGGGAGAGACACTGAGAAAAGGCACATCTTGCTTTCCCCTCACCATAAAAAAAGGGAGTTAGAGACTTATGATGATCAAAGGGCTGGGTCCTCGCAAACAGGTGGGTTGCTTCCCGCATGTGTTTGGGGCGACCACGTCGAAACATTTTTATCTAAAGCAGGGCCTTTCCAGGGTGGTTCGGAGAGGCGATGACAAATCTCCCTTTGCCCAGCAGATGTGGTTGGGACAGAGTATGGCCAGCCGTGGATTTTCAGCCCAACCCGTTCCCCTTGAATTCTTAAATGTGTAAAAAAAGGTTACAGAAGTCGAATTGGGGAGTAAGGACTGGATGAGAACCCCAAGCGCTCTGTGTACGTGTACGTACGTACGTGTGTGTGTGTGGGGGGGGCAGAGCCTGGGAAAGTTACTCGGAACCCCCTTCTCCCGACCCGAGACCATGCTGGTGGAAAGATTCTGTCGTCTTTTCCCAGCGCTGCAGGGACTTTTCGACCCTTCTGCACCCTTTCAAAATGGCAGTAGCAGAAGAAAGGAAAACGCAACAGGGTGATGGTCTGTGGGATTCGCCACGAGGCGCCAGAGGGGTGTGGGGCGCGCGCAGCAGCACCTTCCGAGGTCCAGCCAAGATCCGAGGGATGGGAGTGAGGTGGGGCTACTGCCAGGCCCCTCCTCCCTCCTGCAGCAACTGGTCCACCTCCATCCGCTGCAGCCAGAGCCGCTTCTGCTTCTCGCTCTGCAGCTCCTCCACGTGGTGGCGGCGGCNGGCGCCGCGCCCGGGCGCAGACACGCATGCAGGTGGTAGCAGGGCGGCTCGTTGGACGCGCCCAGGCCCACAGCCCGGCGCGCACCCACTGGGCTCAGCTGTGGGCTCCTCGGCGACCTTGTGGAGGGAGCAGCTGGGGGGTTAGCTCCGTGGGGCTGGAGGGCGGAGCTCTCATAGGAAGCGCCGGGAGACAAGAACCAGCCTCCTGAGGGCTGGGCGGTGTAGTCGGCAGGTGGTAGCAGGGCGGCTCGTTGGACGCGCCCAGGCCCACAGCCCGGCGCGCACCCACTGGGCTCAGCTGTGGGCTCCTCGGCGACCTTGTGGAGGGAGCAGCTGGGGGGTTAGCTCCGTGGGGCTGGAGGGCGGAGCTCTCATAGGAAGCGCCGGGAGACAAGAACCAGCCTCCTGAGGGCTGGGCGGTGTAGTCGGTGTCCGTCGTCGTGCTGAGCCCAGACCTCAGGGAGATGATTGAGAAGGAGGTCTCCAGGTCAGGGCCCTCAGAGCCCAGGACCCCGTTGCTATGGGGCTGGTCCTGGCCCAATGCCCACAACCTGCTCTGCTGCTCTGGCAGCTGCGGCGGATTCCAAAAATGGAGCCTGGGGCCGCTGGGGCTGGCAACGCATTCGGGTGGGGCCAACACGTGCTGGGACGACAGCCTGGCCCCCGAAGCCTCCCCGCAGGGGCTCTGCCCTTCCAGACTTTCCTGGTACAGATCGACCTCATCGGTGGGCTCCACGCTGATCTCCCGGCCCCTGCGCCACCGAACCAGGCTCCGCAGCTTGGCCACGCTGCCTTCCAGGCTGCCGTCAGACTCCCTCCGGGCTTGGAGCAGCTGGTCGGGAGACACGACACAGGGCTCCAGGCTTGCCACCAACTTTCCCAGGATCTCGCACTCCACCCTGGCAGCGAAGAAGCCACAAGCGGCAGAGAGGAGGATGGAACCAGGCGGGAGCTTGGACAGCACCAGGCGGAAGTTGTCTCTTGGGACGTAGCCTAGCCGGCGGAAACTCTTAGTGATGTCGGTCTCGGGAAGGACCCCCTGGAGGACGTGCACGTAGACGCCCGAAAAGGTCTGCAAGAAAAGAGGGGAGGTTAATTCATTGCTATGGTTTTCTCCGGGAAGGGGGACGCTCTCCCTCCTGTCTCTGAATTGTAAACTTGTCTCTTTGCTTATTTTAAGCTGCACTGACAGAGCACACATTCAGCTAGGTCTCTTCCTGAAAAGTGTCAGGTATTTTCCTTTGTTCCACACAAAATATGGAGTTCAAAAAGACAACAACGATCATCATTTTATGCCACCTGTTCTACAAACAAAAACTGTTCGTGACAATTTTAAAAGAAGCAGAATCTGGGCTTGTTCACCTGGCGGTTCTTCCATCGCCGCCTTGTTTATTTTTCCACCCAGCGCCCTTCTTGCCACATCAACATTTTCTAGAGTTCAGGAGGCTGCTCATCTTCTACGCGGATGCTTATACCAAGGTCTTAGGATCCTCCTTTGACCACTTCTCTTTTAAAATGAGGCTGGCTGAAATGCAGCCCTAAGTCGCAATGAGAGTAAGGCCTTTGAATCGGTGGAGATTTGGTGAGCCCAATCTTCTGTACTTCCCGTGGATTCAATGGGCCTACTTTAGTTCTGACGTAGGACTGGGTTTCGGCTACTGAGTGTGACGCTGTGGCTCAAAGCGTGCACGCACCCACACAAGCAAAATGCACATGGCGGTAGTCATTTTCCCCAGCAGAAAACCTACACAGGCCCCTTTGCACCAAGCAGGATCAGCTCCCATTTGCAACACATGAGGATCCAGCCACTTCGGGCTGTCTCTCATCCGGTCCACTCCCCAGCGCACTCCTGAGCACCCCCCACCCAAAGGACACTCACTTTTATTGTGCCAAATTCCTTGCGCCAGGGGAAGAAGGAGAGGTTGATGGCTGCTAATTCCAGCACCTCGAAGGCCCTGCTGAGGTTCTGGAGCACCTCCCTGAGATCCAGGTGACCCTTCAGGGCAGCAGCAAACACTTCAAACAGGTCTTCCCCTTGGAGGTCACGGTGCAGCTCTGGATTTTCCAGAAGGCTGTGCCAGAGCATCTCCTTCAGGGATGGGTCGGTGCAAACCCCAGCGTGGCCCCTCCGGAAATCTCTCTCCACGCACCGGCAGTATTCCTCCTGCAGCACAGCGCTGGGAGTCATCCTGTCATGGGAGAAAGACACAGGGCTCAGCCTCAGTTTCTTCCCACTCAAAATCTCAGTGGTGCCACCAAGCCAGCCCGCGCCCCAGAGGGTATGGGATTTATCACTGTCCTGTTTGTCTCTCGTTCTGGGTGAACATTCCCCACCCACCCCGTTAAAAGCTAGCACTGTCGGTTCTCAAGAGTTTTCAGATAGGCACTGAGTTACCGGCGTTGCCTCACCTTGCAATGGGACACGCATAGGGGGCAGCCGGCTCTCCAGATGTTTGGGGACTGAAAAGCTCCCCGTCAACATGGCGAACAGTGAGAGACAAGGGTGGTGGCGAGTCCCACAACATCTGGAGGGCCACACCTTCCCCACACAGAGGAATAAGCGGCGACTGAGCTGGCTGCCATGGAACCAAGGCCTCTTTGCTAGGCTGGGGGGGGGGAACGCTTGGTGAAATTGACGAGGCGAAACCAACAAGCAGAGACATCTTGGCCAGTTCCCCAAAGTGCCTTTAAAGGTCTGTGTTTTCTGTTCCCTGAAGCATAACCAATCTCCTTGTGGAAAACAAACCAGAAGGCAGCCCACATCCCTCTCTTAACCCGGCAGCTGTAAAGGTAAGCAGGAAGCATGTGGAGAGGGCTGCCCAGAGTAAGGAGACAGTTAGCCCATCTCCTCTGCTCCCCAGGTGGGGTTTTGGGGGCGGTCAAACTCTGCTTGCGGCTTCTTTCCTGCTAGGAGTGGATCTTCGTTGCTACACAGGCAGCCTCAAGATCCTTCGTTCTCCAACCGGAGCAGCCCAACAATAAATCAGCACCGCTCAGAAAGGGAAGAAGGGCACAGAAACCGTCCAGGAGGGAAGGGCCTTGTCCGAAGGAAGGAGCATGGGTAGGAGGGACGGGAATTTCACCTTTGGTGAACTGTGGCCAAGAGATTGAGGAGGAAGATTTTGACTTATCCCTGCCTTGAAGCTTTTTGTCAAGGCTTCCCCACAAACCCCAGCAGACAGGACCAAGGATTCTCTCCGCTACACCTGCAAGATGACTTTGCTGGCCCCCCAACAGAAAACAGCAGCCCTACGCACAGCTTAACTGCATCATAACTGTCACAAAGACATTGGATAAGGGAGCTCTTAAAGCAAACCAATGCAAAAACCAGAACACTTTCTGGCAACATAAATCAACATGGGGAAGTCTGGATTGCCTCTCCTACAATGGGCTGCAATTTACTTAAACATCAGCCATGTTTACATACAAGGATATTTGCATAAACCAACGACACCCTGTTGCATCTAAACAATGCCAAGGTTTTTTTCCACCCCAGTTTCTCCTCGCTGCACTTCTTTTTCCCCCCTTTCTTTTCCTTGCTATGGCACAAGACTGGTTTCTATTATTTTTTTAAAGGACTGAAACCTTTGAAGTGTAGATTTACATCACCGACAGCGAGAAATTTTGGCTGGAGAAGGTGACCTACGAAGAGGCAAGAAAGGAAACGAATCAAGGGAAAGAAATCACAAAATGCACAAAACCCAAAAGGTCGGAGGGCTTTAGTCTTGTCAATTATCATGGAGTTGCTATTAGACTCAAAGGCAGACAAACAGCTCTGAAAATAAACACTTTAAAGTGACAAAGGGAAGCAGCAAAGGGGGGGGGAACCAGCACAGCGATGGGGCTCTCGTTCCCTAGGATACAACTCCCCCCCCCGTGGATTGTCAAGTGTGGGGAAAGAAGAGAGAGGGTTAGGGTTAGGGTGGAGATGGGACCTCGGGAGAGGAGGGCCACCCAACAGATGCTGCCCTGCTTTTCTGTATGTGTGTATGTGTGGGGGGGGTCGGGGTGGGAGGGCACCGCTGGGACCCCCAATGGAGGCAGGAGCAACGATGCCGCTCTGGGGACAGGGGTCCTGCAACCTGGCAAGCAGGAGGGGTGGGCCCCAGGTCAGGGTCCAGAG